AGGTTGTAGAAACACTTGAAGATTAGTAAGACAGTTACAAGGCACTGGCAGTCTGGAAGTCAGTGGATCAAGTGCAAAAAAAATATTTTCTCTAAAGGTGTCTTATGTCGTATAACGTCGGAGAAAGGTTTCTCACTCCGTTTTTCTATAACTTGACCCCACCCCCCTCTAAAAAAAAACATCATGTAACAAAGGTCTTGCTCTTTCAGTGCTTGCATTGGTATTTGAACACTTGTAACTTGTTTTATTCCAACCAAAATATTATCCTCTAACATTTTCGGTCCAGAGGAGAAATACTGACATCTGTAACTAAATGAGTTTGACTTCAAATATAGCCACAGATTCAGGCTTGATTCTTAATACTTGGTTTTCCTTTCATTTTAATTCCTTAACATCATCTCCCTTCTGTCATCTTTTAGCTCTAGGTCTCTGCAAATACTTTGGTGATGAAATAGCACATAATCCAGGCAGCCCTCGTTCCTTACCATCGAAGCTTCACACAACTCCCAATTCCACAGCTGGGCATGGATAATTGTCCACTGAGAGCCAGCCATCTTTAAACAGAGAAGGAACTCTGTGGTGTAATTCCACCTCTTTACATCCCTTTCCTGACCATTACACACTCAAGTGACTGCTTACTCCTCTTCTTTGGATTCATATTTTTAGACACAAAGTCTACCAGTGCAGCTGACTTTATTTGGTGATACATCTGAACCGATGTTCACCATAGAAGGAGCAATGAACTTGCATTGCTCCTTCCTCATCCCTCTTCCCGGTGATACCAGCTGCATCCTTCAATACCAAGCACAAATGGCACCTTTTCCATCTGGCCTACCCTGATCTCCACGACAGAAACTGCTCGAATCCTGCACTGTATTCCCACTGTGTTTCTGCATCTTCGGTGGCCCTTGCCACTGTCTGCCTTTTAGATGTAACCACGGCTGGTTCAGCCAACCTGCTTGTCTCCTTCTTCCCACTAGCCTACGTGTGTTTCTCCTAAAGATGTTCACTCACCAAAATGGCACACCTTCCCAGGTAGCAGGAGGCCCTTCTTTTATCGAGGATTCACATGTGGCTGAATCCCTCTTCCAGAATCCACAAGAACTTTGCCCGATGATTTAGATAGTTATGTCTGTGCCCTCCACTAGGAGTAGACACTTGTGGACATGGATCACATCTGACTGACTTTTGGACTTCCTACTGCATATAACAGCAGCTTTGAATGTCCAAATGAAAAGATGTTCAACACTATTAGCCATTCGATAAATAAAATTTACATAAATGAAATTAGATGAATGAAAATTTAAAACCCCAACAAGATAGCACTGCACATTTAATTAGAATGGCCTAAAGAAGAAATAGTGATAATGCCCAATTCTGGTGAGGATGTGGAGAAACTCAATCACTTATACGTTGCTGGTGAGGATGTACTCTGGAAAATAGTTTGGCAGTTTCTTAAAGATCTAAACACGCAATTATCCTATGACCCAGCAATTGTACTCTTGGGCATTTATCCCAGAGAAATGCAAACTTATGTTCACACAAAACCTGTACACTTCTGTAAATCTTCCTCTAAAGTACAAGAAAAAAAAAAGTAAATTAGCATAGGATTTTAGCCTTATAGGTATATTGATTTATGCAAGCTGGGCTTATGAAAAATGTTCTTGTTATAACTATAGTGATATTTTTATGAAAAATAATAAATTTCTGCTGAAACCTTGCCAAAAAAAAACCTGTACACCAAGTTTATAATAGCTATATTCATAACTGGAGCTCTGGTGGTGCAATGGTTAAGAGCTCAGCTGCTAACCAAAAGGTCAGCAGTTCAAATCCACCAGTTGCTCCTTGGAAGCCCTATGGGGCAGTTCTACTCTATCTTATAGGGTCGCTATGAGTCAGAATTGATTCAACGGCAATGAGTTTTTTGTTTTTTTTATATTCATAATAACCAAAAATTTAAAACAAGCCAGACGTCCTTCAACTGAGTGGTTAAAAACCCCGACACATCTATACTGAGGGATACTAGTCCGCAACAAAAAGAACAACTATTAACACACAACTGACTGGATGAAGCCTCGAGAGAGTTCTGCTGAGTGAAAAAAGCCAATCTCAACATGGTATGATTTCTTTCATAGGATGTTATGTGCTGTCAAGTCGATTTCCACTCATAGCAACCTCATGATGGCTAAGGTTATGTGTCACCTTGTCTAGGCCATGATTCTCTGTGGTTCGGCAGATATGATGTGATCAGCATCCATGATGTGATCTGATATGAGCAGCCAATCAGCTGAAAGGGGAGTTTCTTTGGGGGTGTGGCCTGCATCCAGTATCTATGGATGTCCTGGGAAAGCTGGCCCTCTCTCTCGATCCTGCATCCAACTTACAATCCTCTAACCTCCGATTCTTGGGACTCGAGCCAGCAGCCTGCTGTGAGACGTGCCGATTTTGGGTTCGTGAGCCCCTGCTACCATGTGAGTCAGGAGAAGCCTCCAGCCTAACATCTGACCTACAGATTTGGGACTTGCCAGCCTGCACAATTGCGTGAGCCATTTCCTTGAAATAAATCTCTCTGTATATACACTTTTATATATACACCTCACTGGTTTGGCTCCTCTAGAGAACCTAGCCTAAAACAGACCCTATAGAATACAGTAGAACTGCCCTGTAGGGTTTTCTAGACTGTAATCTCTGTGGGAGCAGATTGCCAAGTCTTTCTCCCATGGAACTTCTGGGTGGGTTCAAACCACCAACCTTACGGTTAGCAGCTACCAGGGCTCCTTTCAAATAACATTCTCGAAATGACCTAATTATAAAAATGTAGAGTTGATTAATGGTTGTCAGGGGTTAAGGAGCTGTTGAGGTCAGGAAGGAAGCGGGTGTGGCAATGCAAAGGCAACAATGTGAGGAATGTCTGTGGTGATGGAATGTTCTGGATTTTGGATGTGTCAAAGTCAATATCCTGGCTCAGATACCGTACTATACTTTTGCAAGATGTTACCATTGGAGGAAACTGGGTAAAGAATATACGGAATCCCTCCGTATTATTTCTTACAACTGCATACACAATTAAATGTTTAATTAATAAAAAGAAAAAAGGGTGTGGCAGGGGAGAAGTGAAGAATGGCAGAAACGTTGATGGCTATGGAAGAATTCATTACGGTCCTCTCTGCTTCTTTGTGTGCTGGGAATGTTTCATGATGAATTGTTTGAAGGTCACGGCAGTAAACTTGTGTTTCTCTCTCAACGGGGTCTCACCTTCCGATTTTCCTCGGTGATCTACCTCCAGTTACAAAATCTCATACCATTAGGCCACCTGCGCGTTCTTCCCAGTTGTTTCTTTCTGAGACACTATTTTTATTCCAGCATTCCTCTGCTTAAAGGAAGACTGCTACTGGAGGATAAAGTTCACTTACACTAGAAATCCCACCAGTCAGACCTGCGGCACCTTATGCTTATCCCCGATACGCCCTCTACTTAAAATGTCCACTTCAGTCAACTGGGTCTCAGAGCGCCACATATGTGACCTTGGACACAGCGCCCTTGCTCATGTCGTTCTCATGTCTGGTCCTCCCTCTCTTCTCCGCCGATTCAAATCCTACCCGTCTTTATAACACAGAATAAAGCCACCTCCTCCGTGAAGCTCTTCCTGCCCGTCCCCTAAGATGACAAAAAGGTGTTTCAGAGCAGGGTCATGAGTTGTATGACGATGCCTGGTAGCCTTCCTGATACAATCTAGGTTTCAATAAAAACGTGTTGCTGTAACTGGATGTAACTATAATATAAAGGCCATCAAGAGACTAATGACTTTTAAGAGAACAAAAAGCAAAGTAGAAACGTTGAACAGATTTAAAAATAAGACGACACTGGGAACTGGTAAACCTGAACTGCAGACCACAGTACTACACCTAACTTGCCATGTTGCCTTGGGCAACTCAGTTAACTCCCCTTGGCATTGGTTGTAAAATGTAAAACAAAAGGACTAGACTCCCCAATTTTTAACGTGTTGATAGACTATACTTGCCTGTGGAAAAGAGCTCCCAAGGGCTCCCCTGCGTTATTCCTTGGAAAGGTTGTTCCTAAACACTGCTCACCAACAGACTCTAAACTTTACATAGAACACACGAAGCAGCACACTATCCCTGATACACCGATTTTTAAACAAAACTGAGGCAATGAGAGTAAGTCGCATGGTATCTTTGGAACCCTATGACGTAGGACCTCCATATCTTTCAAAGATATTAGAGCCAGTAAGACTTCCTAAGGTACTCGCACCCAGGGGAGGTACAATCCCCTTCTCTGTAGCACTGAAAACCTGCCCTCCCATAACTTGGAGCTTGCTGTCTAGGATGTATGGCACAGAGCAGAAACGTTTTCTAAGGAAGATGATGACCTTGTTGAGAAGCAACCAAGATTTCCCAGAATTCTGCCACAGAGACTCCTAGGGCGGAAAGTACAATGAGGAGAAAACACAGAACGATCTCAGGTAGTAGTAAGAGGATCGATTCTACTTGGCCGAAGAAGAGTGTTGCCCCCTGAGGGGGCTCTGTGTATTTAGGAAGGTCAGGACCCACCGTCTACCTTTCAGGTTGGAAATGGCAGTGATCTTAATTAGACAAGGAAGGCCGCACAGTGTGCCCCCACTGACTCCCTGGGGTGCCTGGGCTGAGAGAGGAGGTGGCAGAAGACTCCGTGCACCCACCACTAGCACCTAATGAAGCTCTGGATGGTTCTTACCAAAGAGACTATGACGGGCACAGGAATGGGGAGAAGGCATTCCTGCTCTGGACTCTGGTTCCATCAGGGTGAGGAGGCTGCTTCCATGAGGAAGCCCACCACAGGGAGGTGATTGGCTAGCAGGAGGGGGTCTGGAAGCTGAGTGCAGGACTGTGGGCTGAGGGAGCAGTGGGCGTGGGGACCCAGAGACTAGTCGGGGGGAAGCAGGCAGCAGCAGTGAATTTTCCTCTGCATTTGCCCAGCAGCGCCAGGGTCCCGGCAGTTACCTGAGGTTTCTTCACCTTAATGATCCACGTGGGTGGGACAATAACAGCCGCATGAGCCCCCAGGGAGCAGGGTTCCTCAATGTGGTGCAGCATGAAGCAGGTCACCTTATTGTGAAACTGAAGAGAAAAGAGGCCAGTAAACAATTCCGGGCAAAGGGCAATGCTGCAGCGAGAAGAGACATGCGCACACACAGATGTGTGTGTGCACGTACACAAGTGTACACACATGCACACACGAACACATACACACACACACGAGCATATGTACACATGTACGTACACGCACACACGTACACTCACGCACACATGTACGCACGCGCACAGCGCACACATGTGCACATGAATAAATGCACACGCACGACATGCACAATACATATACATGTGCACGCACACACACATGGCCACATGGACACGTACATGCACGGGAACACATACACACAGGAACACATACACCATGCACATACACACATACGCACGCATGAACACACACACACACACACAACACACATACGGAGGACACGTGCCTCTCATCACTGCCCATCCAGCCCCAGAAGCTTAGAGACCTGATTTCAAATACACTCCACTTTACAGACTTGGAATAATTAATACCAAGAGATCACTCTAGTAGGTAAAGGCCTGCTAAAACTTTCTAACCCCTTTACGGGAAATGTACATAAAGATGTTGGAGCCTTGGTGGGTCCCATTAACTCTCACTTTTACCCGCAACTTTCGTTTCACTGGACTTGCCTGGCCCGGGACAGGGTTGCTTTCGGATAATGCTGGGAAGGAAATGACGACAAGCTCAGAGGTCATGACCCCTCTGCTTCTCCTTTTTCTATTCATGATTCCTTCCCAGGTAGTTCTTCCAGGTCAGGGAACCAGGAAAGAAGCAAGCTTTTCCTCCTACAGAGGCGTTTATTCAAGAGGAACAAAGAACGAAGGGACCGTTTCTGCAGATTTGCTGTAGGGCCATCAATTCAAACTTCCTCTGCTAAAAAAAATACAGTAGCCCTATAACCCTTGGCAGAGCCCTGCTGGCGCAGTGGTTAAGAATTTTGCTGCCACCCAAAAGGTCAGCAGTTCGAATCCACCAGCCGCTCCTTAGAAACCCTATGGGGCAGTTCCACTCTGTCCTAAATGGTCGCTGTGAGTCACAATCAACTCAATGGCAATGGGTTTTTTTGTGTTGTTGTTGTTTTTTTATAACCCTTGGCAAGTCTAAAGTGTTCTTTGTTTTTAAATGGAAGTAAAGGTAGCCTAATGATCACAACAATACCTCAGTGATGGAGGCTTAACTTGATCCCAAATGCGCCATCAAGTGGCCTTGGGACAATCCCATTCCAGTCACCTTTTGTGTGGCTGTGAAATGACGATGATGCATGGTAACATTTATTTTCTAATAAACATAAAACCCACTTTACACAGTAATGACACACCTTCAATTTTTAATCACAGTGACTTTTAAAACTTAGTAGCGGCTTCCACTTGGATTATTCTTCAGGTGGCCATATGATTTTTCACCTTTACAGGAACAATTTTAAGAGTGGAAGGTAGTACCAAGAATAATTACGCTGGAACAACAGGCATACATTAGGCCTGTCCCAGCAAAACAAGCCAAGTGTGGTCACCCTAATTATACTATCAACTCAGAGCAATTCTGTCTTCATCCTGCATGTCTGCAAGATCTGTTGTGACCCTATGGCTAATAATAATTTAATTACATAAGTATAAAATATTAGTTAATAAATTAATAATTCACCTCCCACCAGTTATGTGTGATCTGCTATCAACTAAATATACCAGAGAAATGTTACTTGAATACCTTCTTTAAAAATTTGAGTTTTTTTTTTTTTTTTTTAGGAATTCAGATAAGCCTGCAAATGCACCGTCATTGCATTTATAAAATGGTAAGGATCTCTGACACTGCCTATTTCATCTCTTTCCATTTTATACCACTGTCATCTGCAATCTAGAGCCCGAGTGGTATGTCCAAGATTGCACGGTCTTTATGTGACAGAATCAGGATCTAAACCCAGGAAGCCCAACTCCCAGCTAGTGTTCTTTCTGCTGAGCTGTAGAGGGCCACTTGTTCGTTTGTTGTACACCAGATATCCTGGAAAGGATTACCCATACTACTAAAATGTATCCCCACTTGGTCTTAAATGTTTTCTATTTCTAGTTCTTGCAAAATCACCTTCTACGAAGTGGAAAAGTCTAAGATATGTGGAACTCACCAAAGCCAGGCCACACGTTCAAGTGAAAATTCAGTCTCTGTAGTGCTTCACGTAGACTACAGGTTAATGAAAAGGCAGCGAGCGTATATGTCCTCGGTAAAGTGAGAGTGAGTTCCCAAATTGACCCCAGAAAGCCACCTTATGAAAGTGTGGTGGCTCCATGGGGCAGGAGCAGCTGCAGCCATCTGAGCACACAGCTGCCAATGATGCTGCCCCCCAAGTTAGGGTCTCCCCAGATCAAGGAAATCAGCAGCATGAGTATAGTTAGGGACACCTGGCCATAGGATCTGCTGTTTCCTCCCCAGAGGGAGGTGTCACCCTGATGTTACAGAGTTTCATTCAAGGACTAGGATGGCTATATTTGTAAACAGTTTCTTGAACAGACATACCAAGATTATTCACGTCACAATTAACTGAAAGGAGATGCAAATGCCAAGAACAAGAGATACTGTGGCAGGACAGAGACACAGCAAGAACTGAGCTTTCCAGGCAATGAGGCCCCAGCTAGTGCCAGCAGGTTCCCTGGCCTGTGTGGCCTCAGAAGTCATGTCAGGGAAATGATTAGACTGAACCTTACGCGACTGCCAAAATGCAAATGTTTCTGACCTCCGGAAATGGCAATTTCATGTGTTTCAACCAAATATATCAGTTCCTGCCTGGTGGCCCCGTGTGGCTAGTTAAATCTGATGTGGTTTTTTTTTTTTTTTTTTGGGGGGTGGGGGCAGGGGGGGCGCTGGTCAGGTATCTCCCTGCAAACCTGTAACCTGGCTGAAACACCACAGCCCTTTGCCTTCTGGGTCTGCTGTAAAATGGGGTAACTGTAGACCGCGATTCATACATTCATTCAAAAGAGTAGATGGATTAATACAGGAGAGCAGGGGTTAGCAAGCTGTTCTATAAAGGCCAGAAAATCAGTGTTTAGGTTTGGTGGGCCGTACAGTCTCTGTTGCAACTACTCAACTCCGCTGTTGTACAGTGAAAACAGCCATAAAAACAAAAAACCAAACCCATGATGTCGAGTCGATTCTGACTCATAGCGACCCTATAGGGCAGAGGAGGACTGCCCCCTGGAGTTTCCAAGGAGCGGCTGGTGGATTCCAACTGCTGACCTTTTGGTTAGCGGCTGAATTCTTAACCACTGAGCCACCAGGGCTCGGGAAAACAGCCATAGATAATACACAAACGGAAAAACAGTCACAGATAATATGTAAATGAACGGGCATGGCTATGTTCCGATAAAACTTTATTTACAAAAACAGGTGGCAGGCCAGATTTGGCCCATAGGTCATAGTTTGCCAACCCCTAGATTAGAGTATACATCATCTGGTAAGAGAAAGAACAGGTTCATAAGCAAACAAAGAAGAAAATCTGGCTGGGGCAGAGGAGATGGATACATGTTAAAAAATGGAAAAAGAGTAGATAAAAGAAAGGACAAGTAAATTCGGAAATTGCCATTGGATCCTAATGAATACATACGATCAAATGTAAAGAAGAGCTACATCTGAGAGAGCACACAGACTCCATAACCAAAAACCCATTGCCGTAGAGTTGATTCTGACTCATAGTTTCCTACAGGACAGAGGAGAACTGCCCCATAGGGTTTCCAAGGAGCGGCTGGTGGATTTGAACTGCCGACCTCTTGGTTAGCAGCCGAGCTCTTAACCACTGTGCCACCAGGGCTCCTAAAAAGAGACACCCACATCAAAAACAGAAGACCCAAGATGCCTCAACTCCTGTGACAAAGGGCTCTCTAAGGACATGTGTTGTTTTATAGACACTCCCTACCACAGGAGGCATCCCCAAGGATCTAGTGAGGGCAAGGGGGAGACGTGGTCTAGGAGTGAGAAGCCCTAGACTTTAGTCCCAGGCTTAGGAGCAGGGGAAGGGTTCCAACCTCGGACCCCAGGCTTCAATGTATGTAAAGTGAAGGGGTTAATTTATCTCATAGTTTCTTCCAGCTCATACATGCTGATTCTACAGTTTTAGTTGGCCTTTCTTCTTCCAAGGATCCTATATGAGAAAATGTGTTAAATCAGGACAGCCTATTGCTTACAGACAACTCAAGCAATGACACAAGCCGTTTTAATAAAACGTGAGCCCACCTTGCTTTATTTCATCCCAAAACTTACCGCCTGCTTGCACCAGGAACAGCTGATAGCCACGATCTCTTTACTGTGGAAGGAGAACTTTTGCTGGAAGCCCTGGGGTGTTAGGACAAGAGAAAGAGAATTTGAAACCACCTCAAGCACAGCACGCGTTCGCCCTCCTGGAGTTCAACGCGGTGAGCGTGGGGTCAGAATTGTCAGCCATCACTGGAGTGACTACAACCACAAATGCCACACCCAGCAGCACACTCTCCCCCTCTGCCAGGCAAGGGTTTCCTACGCCTGACTCAGCTCAAGGGCAAGAGAGGAGGCCCTGGTGATACCTGCACCACGTAACAGGTACTCAAGGTCAGACACAAAAAGATGTCGTTCTGATCTATTTGTAATACAAGGAAAGGAAAGCCACTGTTAGTTCCCACGGCTGTATATAACACGGGTCATTCAGCTTGAGTCTCTGTACAACTTTAGTGTCAGGGAACCCAGGAAGAGAGAAATCAAATGTTGGAGAAACAGCACCTAGAAGTCAGGGGCTGGGAGATGTCCGAGGGGGCGGTAGTGTATTCAAACACGTCCATCACCCCTTTGGGACGTCTGCACTCAAAACAAGCAGCTTTGCACTTTTATACTTCCCCAGCCAGCAGCAATGAGATTAAACGGAATGGCAAACACAATCCTCATAAACAAACAAACAGAATTACTTTTTCAGCACGAACCAAAGTGGTTTGAAAGAATTGCCAGAGAGAAGCTCAGAGTCGGGCTCAGGGGATTGTTTTCATCTTCCCAAAGTGCATCTGTTTCTACCTGCCTGTGAAATCCAAACCAAACCAAACACAGGCAGAGCAGCAACAAAACATGTTTAAACGGGGCTTCTGTGAAGTGATCAAAAGAAAACAGTAAAATGCAATGGGCAGGAAAGCCAGTCAAGGCCCTGGCTGGAAAAATCTGGCAGATAATTTTAAGTGCAGGAGTGAATTTATGCATTATTAAAAGGTCTCCCAACGGCATTTCTGCAATCCTGTTTATTCCTGGATATCTGCAGCATTTTACGTCTATTGAGGGTTTCTCCTCTTTGAACCTCCCTCCTCACTTGGTTTCCTCATGCACCTTCCTACATGTCCTTCCCCTCCACATCTCCTGCATGTGAGCACGAGGCCAGTGTCAGCCTCGGGGCTCTGAGATTCCCCACTAGGCCTTCTCTCCCGTCTCGACCTCAACTCTCGCTTCTAGAAACATGGCTTCTTCTTAACATCAGATTCCTGGATTTTGCAAATGGCTCTGTCAATGTCCTTTCCTCAGCAAGCGAAATGATAATTCAGTCTCTCCCTGTGTTGACATGCCAGGCCTGGTTCTGTCCTCAGGAAGGCCTGCTTGCAAGCTTGACCTGTGGCCGCTGTCTGGGAACTTGGATTTCGGGAGGGTTTCCTCGTTCCCTGCACACATGAGAGCGTCTCACTGTGCCTGAACTGTTTGCACAAACAATGTGGTGCATGCTGAACACTTGCTTTCCTTCTGGGAGTCTGGAAATCTGCTATGTGCCGGGCAGAGGGTGCCTACGTGACCAGCGCCCAGTGAAAACTCTGGGCACAGAGTCTCTAATGAGCTTCCTGGTAGACCACAGTTCACACATGTTATCAGAAGTAGTTTTTGGAGGAATTACGCATGTCCCGTGTGACTCCACTGGCAGGGGACTCCTGGGAGCTTGCCCCTGGTTGGCCTTTGTCCCAGTTGCCTTTTCCCTTTGCTGATTTTGCTTTGTGGGCTTTCACTGAAATACATCATAGCCATGAGCAGTATACGCTGGGTCCTGTAAGTCCTCCTAGAGAATCATCAAGTCTAGGGTGCCCTTGGGGACCCCGGCATGCCTCCTTCCTGCCAAGTAATGAGTCTTGCTCCGCCTACTCTGTCCACGACAGTCCCATCTCTCCAGCAGGGGAGGTGCTGCTGTATGGCACATGTGGGCTGCAGCGCTGGGCCAGGTTCAATGTCCACGTCCTCACTGCTGTGGTGCAGAGCAACCCCCCCACCGTCCCCGGCACCCCAGCTGCACCCACCTGGCAGCAATAGCTTACGGAGAGGACACCAATCCCAGTGGGCAAAGGGTCATGCACACAGGTCTTTGCAAAGTTGATGAACAAACTACTCAGTGTGAAATCAGATGGCACCAAATACGCAGGATTAACTTCACGCTGGAGCCTCTTGAAAAGTTCCCCGTCATCCTTCAAGCCACTCTTGATGGACTGAACCAAAAAAAAGACGAATAAAATCCTTCTCTGGAGCCGTAGCAACCATGTGTGAGCACTGTGTGGGGAAAGAAAGCAGGAGCCAATATCCAGGGCACTGAGGCTGGCATGGCGTCTGGGTGGGACCCCCAAACGAGCCTCGGCTGCTGCGCTCAACTCTCCCTCCTGGGGCCACGTCCAGCCAGGCCTGCGCTCTGCTCGTGGGCTCCCACACCTGGATCTCTGCCCCATTTCCCCAGCGGGCCTCTCCACGACACCTGCTCCTCCCCTCTGTTCTTCATCCTATCCTGGGCACTGCCACCAGGTAAAGGGCTGCTTCTCAAATGTCAGTCTCCGGCTCAGAATGCTTACACGACTGCTTCTTTCTTAAAGCCAACAGGACACGCTCTTCCTACTGGCACTCAGGGCCACCCATAACCCTCCCGACCAATTCTTGTACCTCCATCTCCCACTCCCAGCCGCGGATTAGCCAGTAAGCAAGGTACGCACGGGCTTACTTGTGTTTACATACTAATCTGTAGCGCACAGTTTCATATGGGTTGTGTGGTGAAACTCACATGATATTGTACACTACAGACTAGTCAGTAAGCACGAACAAGCCCGTGCATACCTTGCTTATTGGGTAATCCGTCCCCGCCCACTACTCTCTTATTGCAAACCCCCGTCTATGTGTTGTTGTGAGCGTCATCAAGTCACTTCCAGCTCATAGCAACCCCAAGTACAACAAAACGAAACACCGCTGGGTCCTGTGCCATCCTCATGAGCTGAGCCCACTGTCGCAGCCACTGTGTCAATCCATCTCGTTGAGGGGCTTCCTCTTTTTCGCTGACCCTCTACTTTACCAAGCATGATGTCCTTCTCCAGGGACTGATCCCTCCTAATAACATGTCCAAAAAACATGTCTATGTGAGAAGGGTCTAATTATGTTCCACAACCGGCTGTATTCTTTATATTTCCATTTCTTTGTCCAGACTGTTTACTCATTCCGACTCTGCCACGTGGAATGCCTACCCCCATTTCATATAACTGAATTTCTCTGCCACTAGTCTTCCAGTGCAGCCCTGGTGGCACAGTGGTTAAGAGCTTGGCTGCTAACCAAAACATCAGCAGTTCGAATCCACCAGCTGCTCCTTGGAAACCCTGTGGGACAGTTCTACTCTGTCCTATAGGCCGCTATCAGTCAGAATCGACTTGATGGCAATGGGTTTGGTTTTGGGATTTCTGGTAGTCTTCCAACATCACCTCAATTCACTGTGATCTCTTCTCCCAAATTATAGGTCTTATCACCTGCACCACCCCCTCAGCATCAATGAAGAAAAACCAGTTGTCATGAGTCAATTGTGACTCACGGTGACCCCATGTGTGTCAGAGAACTGTGCTCTACAGGGTTATCAATGGCTGGTTTTCCAATGTAGATCTCCAGGACTTTCTTCCAAGGTGCCTCTGGGTGGACTCGAACCTCCAACCTTTCGGTTAGTAGCTGAATGCGTTAACCATTTGTACCGCCCAGGGACTCCAAATAGGTGACTTGGCAATACTCTACTCAGCGCTGTAGGGTGGGTAGATGAATGTTTGTCTTCCAGCATCCAGCCACAATGGGGGCTCTGGGTGCCATGCTGTGGGAATCACGGACAGTCCCTTGGAAGTGAGCTTGGCAGTCATCAGCTCTGGGCTTTGTTTTGGCTTCTAGTCTGGCAGAGTCACCGTGAACATTGCTTCAGGGTCACTGTCTAACACAGGGACACAAATAGAACCACCCTGGAGCCTTCATGGGTCAAGTTCCCATAGACCACCTGGCATGGGGAGAAGCCTTTGGCTGGGCTCTCAGCTCAGGAACAAGAGCCAGACTCCTAATTGCCCACTTTCAATGCTGGCCCAGACCTGCTATTATGGGATGAGCAAAGGCCCTGACTGTTTGAATTTCAAAGGTTGTTAAGGGCTGTTTTATTCAGGCAATCAAAGAGGAAAACAGGATGTGAGGTCAGGATGCTTTGGACCCAAATGATTTAAAAATTAAAAACACCAAGAACCTTGAGGGATAAGGTAAGTTTTTTTTTTTTTTTTTTTCCCTTTTTTTTTTTGGCTCTTTGAGTTTTTTTCAATCAAATTGAGCCTCTGGAATAAAGTTAAACAAGGTTTACTCTGAGCAGCTAAAGCGCTGTTGCCTCTTTTTCTCCTGCAATCAGGGGCAGGCACCAAATGGCACAGAGCCTTACAGACGAGACTGAAACTGGGGGAAAATGGCTTTACTGATGGCTGAAATCAACTCACTGTTGATTTATTTAACTAAGGTCTGGGGTGAGGGAATCTCCCGCCCACACACTGATTCATCATTTCGTTTGATTTGATCCAACACAAGAGTTGATACTGCTCATGCCTCCAAAACCTTAAACAACAACAAAACAAGCCCACTGGCATTTTCAAAGGTCAGAAAATATTATAAAGTGCAAATCCTAGAGAATTATAAAATAAGACCGAATCGATTTACCGCCACTAATATTTATCTAAGGAAGCTTGGTGGCGCGGTGGTTAAGTGCTGGGCTGGTAACCGAAAGGTCGGTGGTTCCAACCCACCAGCCCCGCTGCAGAAGAAAGCTGTGGCTGTCTGCTTCTGTAAAGACGACAGCCTTGGAACACCTGTGGGGCAGTTCTGCTCTGTCCTGCAGGGTCACTATGAATTGAAATTGACTCAGTGGCAACCGTTTTAGTTTGGGTTTTAATATTTACCTTAAAACAGTGAAGTTCAAACATTTTTGCTCAACTACTCCCTATGATTTCTGAAAAATATATGTGCCCCTTCACATTTTATATTTCGTATCTAGAATGTTTACCGTAAGTTTAATTAGATGCAATGTT